ATTGTCTAGTTCCAAGCCATAGATGCAATAAAGAAAATAAAGAAACGCTGGCATCTTTTAATCCCCAAGGTAGATAAGGCCCTTACAGAAAGGAAAATATATCGCTGTATTCATGGAGTAGTGCACAGCTAAAGAACCGGGGCGCGCTTTCATAGTTTCGTAGATCTCTATCTTTTAATTCTTACTGTATACGGGCTGCATCAGGCGGCTTCGGTGCCGTATTATCGCCGCTTTGCGTCTATATCTTTCAGTAAGATTTAAAGAAAGTCTGTTTTTTTGTGAAAAACATAATAACTCATTTAAAATAATCTAATAATACAAGACAAAAGCGATATCTTTAATCAAAAAGGAACATGGCATCATTGTTTCTTTTAAATAATCATTTTCTTTTGTCTTCAATGAAAAAGTTGCAACACTTTTCAATATAAAAACGTATTTTAATTGTTTGAGATTATAATTATCCTCGTTTGATGTGCGAATACAATAGAAAGTTTATTATGTACTTTGTTTCTATTTTGAAATTCACTTGTCTATTTTAGGTTGAGGGAATTATTGTCTGAAAAGTACCTAATTAATTTGTGACCTGCTCAGAGGCTACTTTTATTCAATATTTTCATAACACTGACTTTAACTTGTATTCTTTTTGTTCTAGGTAAGCATCTCGTAACAAACAATGCTTTAGGTAAGTTGACACAAGTTGCGCCCAATCTTTTTGAATTATTTATGACACACACACACATACACACAGAAAATAAATGTACAAGGTATCAAGATCACATCTTATCCTGCGCTGTAATGTATGTAAGGCCTCTTAAAAGGAGTGGCTGAAGAGAGATTTAAAGAGAAAGTTGCTTTACGGAAAGCCATTAAAGGCCTCCAATAATGTGTTATTTTGTATTTTGGTTTATACTCACGATAGTGGTACTTACACTCAAAAATTGTTTGAGTTGCTTCACCTATATTGAGTCAATATTGATTCAAGTTTTTTTTTGTTAAAAAAGTAAAAGAAAGCGATTTGTGTGCGATGCTTAAATTTATCAAGGGCACTTTCTCCTGATGTCAGTCGGCAATAATCATTGTAGTTTAAATTATGATAAATACCAATTTCTTTATGGATAAAATAACTTTCTTTTTGTCTTTATTTTATGCACGATCGATTGAAAATCGTGAAATTTTACTCCCATAATCGATTCTTTGCAAACTTTGCACTTTGGGCCCTCGTAGCGAATTTCTAAATAATGCACTACTGCGGTCAAGTTGTTGGTCATCACATCTCTTGGTATTCTACAAAATTCAAGGTCTAAACTAAACTAAATTCGTTTTCAGCAAGAAAAAGTGAAAGTACAACTATTTATTTCAAACTGGAATTACTTCTCTGTGTTGGCACAGGTCAAATTATATATTTAGATTGTGTATATTTTTGGAGAACTATGAATATATTAAAAGGATGTTCTCCCACGGTTATTGTGAGGAAGTGGAGCTAAAAACTTAAGACTGAAACATCATTGTGGATGTTGGAAAAAAAGAAAATCAAATATAGTCCAGCAGCAGAACCCTGATTTTTCCCCCTGAAGTGTCAGTCGTGGGGTTAATTTTTTTTTTGACGGATTCTTGTAGAATCATAGGTCTAGTGTCCATATCCGGCTGATGACAAGCTGTCATCCTTGGGGAAATTCAGATATACAGGATGTTGCAAAATATAAAACATAAAAATATATTCGGTGGTTTTTTTAGCCTTAGGCCTTAATTTTTGACTGCACTGAATAATTTATTGGTTGTACACCTACCATATGCTTACATATCATAACAATAATTATGATATACAATATACAGGGTGTAAAAAAATATATATAAAACTTATAAATTTTCCCATTGAGTTCTCCGTTACTGCTTTTGTCAATAGTTTATTGACTTTCTGTTAGATTCTTGTGTTCAGGATGATGTTCTTACCTTTCTTTTTGTTTACATATTTCCTTACCCCGTACCTGACCTTACCCTGTACCTGAAGTTAGTTGGCTTATCTTTTGCTGGTTGCATTTACCTTTTACCTTGCCCTTTGCGTATACCTTTTGCCTTTTTGGCGTTTAACTCTTAGTAGTCATAACTTCTTTTCTTTCCTTCACGACTTTGCTTATTTTTGCCTTTACCTTTAGCTTCGTTGATTTCAGTTATCTTACCGTTGTGTTTTTAAGGCAAAGTAAGTGGATGTTCGTTCTGGAGGGATATACCTTCCTTTCTTAATATCTACCTTTTATTTGTTGTATCTTGATAGTCATTTTGAATTAATTCAAGTTTAAATTATAAATGCACATATTTTACATACTTTATATTACCTTAGTTCTCGTCGGAAAAGTTTCTTTCTAACTTTCCCTCCTATCGTAGGAGAGGGGGAGTTGTAACATGCCAAAATTGCCCCATTAATTCTTACCTATTTTCAGTTTTCTATTTCTTTAAATTTGTTAACATTTTCTCTCTATAAAATTTCAACAACAATCACAGCAATTGCAGATCCTGTGAATTTTCTAATTTTCAATATTGAAATTCTATTTTTATTTGTTACTAGTTCTTGTGATGGCTAATGATTTTTCCTCGATTTTAATCAATATTTTAACTCAATTTCAAAATCAAAACAAATCAATATTTTGATTTCAATTTAAAATTCAATTTGCCTGTAAATAAATCCATTTCTTTTGGTGTTATGTTTTCCCAACCGTTTGACCCGTTTTCAAAGTGTATGTACTCTACCCTGTTCGTACTTTCGTATTCTGTTCGTTTGCTGAACTCAGTACAGTTCTAGTGGAACCCGGTTCAAACATTGGTTCCATAAGCATAAACATATGCCTGGCCGCATGAAAACACCGATAAACCTATATCAATAAGTGCATAAGGAAGACTTAAACCTTGGCTTTTGGGAATGGGATATCATATGCAATATACAAATTGGAAATTGTTCTCTGTGGATGTATGCACGACTAATAATGTCAGTTTTTGTTTTGACTGGAGAAATTTCATAATGAGGTCCATTGTTAAATCTTTTTTCAAGAGCTTTGACTTTTTTATTCTGATCCGCATGTCATTTCACTGTTTGAATAACTCCTATAGAACCATTTACCAGACCCAAACTATCATCTATATTTGGCTTTAACATAATTCTAACTCCTTTGATTAAAATACTTTCTTTTAATCCCGCTGTCATTGAGTCATCCTCTTTATGTTTTTTAAGCGCTTCACGGGCTCTTTTTAGAAGAAATTTTGGAAAGTTCAAGTTATCTGAAGCGATGAGTTCAACATATGGACTAAGAAGAGCTTCGGGCATTGAATGCTGCTTACACATACTGTGTATTTAAGAGAAGAGTTTAGGGAGTAGGCATACGGAGCTACGAAGGACGCAGAACGATATTCCGCGTGTGGCTAAATTCACTAAAATGTTGCACCGATCTTAATGGGTTCGTTTAGGATCGGCTAAAATACGCACACATAGCTTGCATATACGCACTGTTTTTGGAGGTCCCAGGTTCGATTCTCGTTGACCGCAATATTTTTTTTTTTTTTTTTAAAGAATATTAAGAGGACGGGTTAGTTTGAGTTAGTTTGAATAGCTCTGTTTGGCAATTTTCTTAGGATTTTTAATTTTTTTTTTAAGATTATTACAAGGACAAGTTTTGGGTTAGTTTGGATCAGCTCTAATTTCGTTTAAAACACCAACATACAAAGAGTGGCCCCCATCACGAATTACGGTGACGCTCCGTCTATCTGTTCCCCAGACTCTTGTGTTTAACGATAGCTGTGGAGGGTGGTCAAATTTTCAGGGTTTTTGTTTTTTTCCATGAGTTTTGCCATAATTTATATCAGTATGCCAAATTTCAGCCTTCTAGCATGTTTGGAAGTACAGGGTGCTTCAAATTCGAGCTACATCATTGGGATCTCGGAAACGGTGAGAGATACAGGGTTGGTTAAATTGGGGCAAAGTTGCGTAATTTTATGCTTAACAAAATGCCGCTTTGATATTTAGGATATTCCAAATACTTACGGAGATATGATAATGAAGTCACATTTTCTTTTAAATATCTTTTCAAATAAAGTCGAGAAAAAATAAAAACAATTTTGCAAAATTTCGGTTTTTTTCTGGAAAGGTCAAATATGACTAAAAAAAAAATTTAGACAAATACATACTTTACGCACTAGTGCGGAAAATATTTTCACTTTACGCACTGGAGTGTGAAGTAATTTACCAGAAAAATACTAAATTGACAGTGTCGACATCTGTCATTGACATTACTTCACGGACTAGTGTGTGAAGTGAATTACTTTACACACTTGTGCGTGAAGTGAAATTTTACGTATTCTGAATAGTTCGTAAAGTGAGTACTTTACGCACGGTAGTAGAAAATAGTTATTTATGCAACAAGTGTGTAAAATGAACCTTTTTTCACGAATGTGAATTTTGACAAGGCGAGTGCGACAATCACACGAGTGAAAAATGGTGTTTTACGCACGTATTGCATACAAAAATTTTTCTACTACCAATCAAATATGTGTAAAAAAATCAATTTAGACAAATTCTTTACGCACTAGTGCTTAAAGTATTCTCACTTTACGCCATAGTGCGTGAAGTAATTTACCAGAAAAATAGTAATTTGACAGTGTTGACATCTGTCATTGACATTACTTTACGCACTAGTGCGTGAAGAGAAATTTTACGTCTTCTAAATAGTGCGTAAAGTGAGTACTTTGCGCACGGTAGTAGAAAAAAGTGTTTTTTGTTGCTTTCGCCATTTAGACTAAAACAAAATATCATGTGTTATGTATCGTTGAACTCGCAATTTTTTTTCTCAAAATACTGAACCAATAAGATAGAGGGTGTTCCATTTGAAAAATCTTTGTTTTTTCGAATATCTCAGAAGATAAAGCTCCCATATTTTTTCTAAGTACGCCACTGGATTCTACGTAGAAAAAGACGTATTTTTCCTTTTTGCAATTTTTCTATATCTCCGTAGGGTAAGAAGTTATAGAGGATTATAAAAAACAGCTGATTTTGAAAAACACCCTGTACCTCGCAAACCAAACTTGTTGGCCAAGATCTGACTACACCATCAAATGACACACTAAAAAAGAGGACGGGAAGCGTATATCAGTTTCTCAGTATCTTCGGCCATTTTGGCTGTACCCTATCAAACTATCGAAAATCAACCACCCTGTACAGGGAGGATTTTGTGGATTTGTTGAACAAATTTTTTCAATTACATTTGACTACAGGAAAACATCCTTGTAAAATTCTAATAAGTTAAAAGTAGTGTTTAGATTTGAATACAAAACAATTCCTTGTGTGATTCTAATAAGTTCCAACTTCCAATAAAAGTAGTATTCAGATTTGCAATACAAAACAATTCGAAGGTGAAAGGTGAACGTATGTTTATATACCACACAACTTATTAGCCTATTTATGTGGGTGGTTGCCGGGTTTGTTGTAGTTTTCTTCTCGCTGTTAAGTCTCGACTTCCATCGAGAAGTAGGTTAGCATGATACTGCACGACGTAACGTAGTGGGGCGCGCACCATTCGCTTGTGATCCTTTTCGGTGCCGTGCAACACGCGACGTTTAAACACTCCATCGCCGCTTACTTTATTATTTAGTTTATTATCGAAAGGCAGTCGCGACGGTTTAATCTCGCATAGACCAAGTACGATCCGCGGAATGGAACCGTCGAGCGGATCAGTGGTACCATGAGCCCTGCGTCGCTTGACGCGTTGGAAGTAGAGCGGTATATCGGCGCTTGTCTTTTTTCACAAAACCGATCTAAACATTTTACGAAAAATAATGTTTATCCGAAATCGCCCATGTATAATGGTTATGTGAATTTTCAAAATTGTCCTTCTCCGGTCGAAGGATGGGCGGGTGGCGCTCCTTTGATATCTTTTGCTGGCCACCAGCGAGGAAACCGAAGACAAAAATACGATGAGAACAATCATTTGGCCCAATTAGCTGTGCATACGCAAGGCGCTCCGCTTATTTTGTCAAAGTGTTACAACCATCGGAAAACTAAGCCTCAGAGAAATAACGTGATTCAGCAAACGAAGGTGTTCGAGAACACGAACCATAGAAGATTTTCTTCGAATAAAAATCAAGACCCAGTAAACGAGTGTTCAAATGGTGCCCTGGACTGTTTTAGTGTCACAAGTGATGAAAGCTCCGGCTCTCAAAACTCCGAAACTTGTTTGCCCCGGATTATAAAACCGAGAAAACGACGGAAAAAGGATCGCAAACCAACCCACTTACCGCGTTTATACAATCAAGATCCCATGAACAATGCAAGTACAAATGAAGACAACAAACCAAGTATAGATGAAACGAAATTAAATGATTTGATTGGTGATTCTTCATCTGAAGATCCAAAACTGCATCACTCCTTTGAAGAAGTTGAAGAAGTTAAGGATGTAAATGGAAATCAACCGGTGAGCACCTGCCAGTGTCGCTATTGCGATCCAGAAGGACAAATTTGGGATGTCGATAGAAGTTGTTACTCTCCATTCCTAACGCCTCCCACCAAAACTTTATTTGATTTTTCGAATTTGCTGTCTCAATCTTCGGAATTGCCTTTCAAATTTTCCGAATTATCTTTAAAAGAGGAGAAGGTTCCGTTTAGTCGTTCGGCATCTTCTTCGTCTACTTCTTCGGGGGATTTGGAAGTTTCCACGGAAATTGTGACGTCTTTGAACGGGCATAGGGACTTGGAGATTAAATTTTGGTTAAACGGTGCTTTGGATGCGAAAAATCAGTTGAGAAGTGATAATAAAACGTGAATTATTTATTGTATCGTGTCGATATTTGGTGCAAGAGAAAGATTTTGCAAACGTTTATTTATTAAGAAGCGAGCGCTCCTGTAATAATAGTTTATTTAAATTATTTGCGTTTATTTGCAAAACATTTTTTTTTTTGTAATATAATGATGATTATTTAAACGAATAACTTTTCATAATTGTTTTATTAGAAATTTTGCGGTGTATGCTTGATAATTTCTTTATGATTTTTGATTCAGTTTTTCAGGAAATTGATTTACATAAGTGATGAAAATTTTGGTCGCCTCATTAAAATTTTTACGTTCACAAATTACTTTTACCATTTATTTCCTGCCAATGTTTGAACTTTCCTCATTACTTTTCTTCTTGGTATTAATTTCTCAAATCGTTAGATTTAACAGTTTTTAAATAAAAATTCAATGTAAAGTTTTATTGTAAAGGTATCCTAAAAATGTCTAAAATTTCAATTATTATTACCCTTATCGGTCGGGTCGTGTATCAATTCAATTTTAATATCATTAAATTGTACATTAAAGTTGCGAAATTTAATTTAAATTGCGTTTTCTTAATAGCTTCAATAGATTGAAAACAAGGTTTTACGTTTCAAAGACTATATTTGGAAAACTAAGCATTTCCGGAAGCTACTTATAGAAACTTAACAATTTTCTTCCATGTTGCACATCGATTTTTTCTAAGGAACTTTTAAATTCTTTCGGAAGGGAGATAATCGAATCGAAAAAACTGGAATAAACAAAATTGTTAGGACTACATTTAACAGAAATGTAGATTCAGCCTATATTTTCGTTTTGCAACTCTTTTTCTAGTTTTGTCTAAGGTTTGCCTTTTTTTCTTTGAAAGTTTTTTCGCATGATTTCTTATTTTTTCAGTTTCTACTTCCTATTATTCCAGATCTTTTCTAGGTTTTTCTCATCTCCTTTTCAAGCTTTTCTCGTGTTACTTTTTGAAATTTTGAATTATTAATAGGTAGCCAGATACTTCTAATAGACAAGAATTTCCCAACTTATTCTTTTCCAGCTCCTTTTCTCGTTTGTTTTGCCCTTTTCTCTTATCTTTTTCCAAGTTTTCTCGATTCTCAGATTCTTATTTTTTTCTTCATTTCTGTTTTTTCTTGTCTCTAGATAATTTTTCAGTTCTCCCCAGCTCTTCGTCAGGTTTGGCCCGCTCTTGCTGGTCTATTTGAAGCTATTTTCTCGTAACCAGAAACTTAGAATAGACAAGAATTTCCCAACTTCTTCTTTTCCAGCTTTTTTTTTTAAATTTGGTATGCCCCTTTTTCTGATTTTTTTCCAAGTTTTCTCACTTCTTAGATTTTTATTTCTGTCTTCATCTCTATTTACTATTGTCTCTAGATGATTTTTTTTTGTTTTTCCCAGGTCTTTGTCAGAAACTTGTAATAGACACGAATTTCCCAACTTCTTCTTTTCCAGCTCCTTTTTTTAATTTGTTTTGCCTTTTTTTCTGATATTTTCCTAAGTTTTCCTGCTCCACAAATTTTTCCTTTCCTCATTCGTGTATCCTATTGTCTCTAGATGATTTTTTAGTTTTCCCCAGCTCTTCGTCAGGTTTGTCCCGCTCTTGCTGGTCCATTTGAAGCTATTTTCTCGTAACCAGAAACTTGTGTAATAGGCAAGAATTTCCGAACTTCTTCTTTTCCAGCTCCTTTTTTCTGATCTTTTTCCAAGTTTTCACAGGTGTCGCTCTATCCACTGGGCGACTTCCTTCGAACTGTTGATTGACGCAGAGTGAATTATTGGCCGGCCACCTTAAAAGGTCCTATGCTTTTAAAAACGACACACAATAGTCTGACACACAAGTTATTTTTGTACTGGGAGTACATCTGTGCCAGGATGAACTTCGATGATTCGTCCATTCAACCACTTTAGTGGCAGTAGATTATCATCCTTCACAACGACCAGTATTCCTGGTTGTATACCATTTCCGTATGATCTTACTTCCATCGTGTTCGGTATTGCAATTGAGAAAAATACTCCCTTGAACATCGGGTTCAGAAATGTTGGAGAGATTGCTGAATCCTTTGGTAATGGTTCAGCCTTGACATCTTGATATTTTCCAAACTTGGTTATGGGACTGCTAAGAATGAGTCGCCTATTAGGAAATGGCCAGGGTCCTTATTCTTGAAACAGGGTAGCAACGTTCCCAGGAGAACGAGTGTTCTGTCTTTCTCAATGATATGCAACTAATAATATAAGTAACAAAGACGTAACACTCGTTCTCCTGAGAACGTTTCTTCCCTATTTCAGGAATAAGGGGTAAGACAGGAAAAGTCTATAGATTGGAAATCGGGGTTAAAGATCTGGAGCTCAAGCAGGCTTCAATTTGAACCAAGATAGTGTACATTTGTTCAAAATTCAGAGCACTATTGCAGATGATCCGTTTCAAGTGATATTTCGCTGACGCGAGACTTACTATTGATGCACCCTGAAAATTAGTGCCGTTATCTGAAAATATATCGGATGGCTTCCCACATCTGGAAACAAATCGCTTAAGAGCATTGAGAAAACCTTTTGATGTTAAATCCGGAACCAATTCAATATGAACCGGCTTAGTTGGAAAACATACGAAAATACACATGTATGCCTTAATAATTTTAGATCTTTTCAATACACCATCCTTGATCATGAATGAACTAGCATAGTCCACATTTAAAAAATGGTCTTCTTAATGTAGAAACCTTTGCAGGTGGTAAGTCACCCATCAGCTGAGTCAGTGGTATAGGGTTGGCTCTAAAACAACGCACGCATTTTCTCAAGACTCGTTTTATTGCATCTCTAAACTATGTCTAACCAAAGTTCTCTTACTCGAATATATTATTGCACGCGCATTGTGTTTATCAAACCAAAATAGGTCCGAACGTGTGAATCCTATGATTACAAGGATGAGTAAGTGACCTTCAACGTTCAACTTTGGTTAAACAGAGTTTATCAGATAGTGGCCAATATTGCAAACGAATCATTGCAAAAAGGGATTATGTTCCTACGTGTAGAAGTTTTTGATGAAAATGAACAATGATCAGTTCTGTTAGGACATGTTTTTGCGAAAGTATAATTGGATTTTTCTGATCCACAGAACACTCGGCATTCCTTAACCTTCCCCCTACTCGGATAAGTCCGTCTTTCAAAAATGGATTTGAATTTAACAATCTGCTCGTAGATTTCAAAGACTTTCGGTTTTGTAAAGCCAGAAGTTCCTCGGCAAATTCTTGTTTTTGTGCCAACCTCAAAAGACATAATCGTGCATTTTCTAGTTCTTGAACCGTTAAATTAGAAACTTCTTTAAATTTAGACAGACAATTAGTTCTAAATCGTAATATGAAAGCAACAACATGTTGTAACTGTGTTAGAGTACCTTGTAAAAATTGAAAAATCATGTTCGAATGGGGCAAAAGTTTGACATCTGGAATGCTTGTTATCTTCTTTGAACAGGAATGACATTGGGTCAATTTTCTATACAATCCTGAATGAAACTAGGACCAAACCATTACAATAGGGAATTCTCATGAGAAATAAATATGGCTTATTTTGTTTTTATGGTGCACATTTTTCTGAAAAATATTGAATATGAGCAGTTTTGTATCAAAATAATGGATATTATAGTCAATACGGCAATTATAGCTTTAAATTGAAAAGTTTCGCGCGGAAAAGTTACGTTTAACATGGCCGCTTCCAGTGACGTCAACTGTTCGTAAACTAACGTTAAGGGTAGTTTACACTGATCGTAAATCCACGGTCCACACTTTCGTGGTTCACTCTCAAGTCGTGGAACGATTGGTCCACGATCAGTTCAGGTCACGCTACGACTGATATTGAACCACCATAAGCAGGTCTATAGAGGGAAGATTGTCAGACTGCCATTTTCTAAATCCTATATCAACCATGATGAACTATTTGAAACACAAAATGTCACAATATGGCACTAAATACGAAAACACCACATATTAAACCGCTTTCAATGCCGTCGAAAGTTCAAGCTGAAGCTAAGCGATTCTTTCTAACAGTTTGCAAAGTGTCAGAGGCTCTTGTGAGAACAGACCTTAACGTTGTGTTTACAGACAGTTGACGTCACAAGTTCCACCATCTTGAAAGTAATCGTTTTCGCGCCAACGAAAATAATTTGAAATTTAAAATATTTTTTCTACTACCATGCGTAAAGTATTCACTTTACGCACTATTCAGAAGACGTAAAATTTCAATTCACGCACTAGTGCGTAAAGTATTTCACTTCACACACTAGTGTGTAAAGTAATGTCAATGACAGTTGTCGACACTGTCAATTTGGCATTTTTCTGGTAAATTACTTCACGCACTTGTTCGTAAAGTATTTGTCTAAATTTATTTTTTTACACATATTTGATTGGTAGTAGAAAAAATTTTGTATGCAATTCGTGCGTGAAGCACCTTTTTTCACTCACGTGATTGTCGTCAAAATTCACATTCGTGAAAAAAGGTTAACTTTACACACTTGTTGCATAAATAACTATTTTCTATTTTAATGAGAACATATAACAAAAAAAAACACATACATTTTATATTTGAAAACAAAGCAATAAGAAAAAGAATACTTTGAAAAATATGATTGTTCCCTATCACAATTCACTTTCCTGTAATATATCAGGATTCAAACCACCTGATATTATGTCAACAGGATTGTCAACTGTGCTGACATATCGCCATTTCTCTATATTTGTGAGCTCGTTTATCTCAGACACTCGATTTGCTACGAAAGTCTGAGTTGAAATCCAAGAAAGAACAATCGTTGAATCTGACCATAAAAATACTTGATCAATTTGCAACTGTAATGCATTCTTAACCTTATCAAAAAGCCTTGCCAACAATAAAGCTCCACATAGTTCCAACCTAGGAAAAGTAACCTTCTTTAGAGGGGCTACTCGAGATTTAGCACACAATAATTTGGCTAAAATATTACCCTCATAACACAACGAAAATATATGCAACACCCATATGCAGATTCTGATGAGTCACAAAATCCAGTGATCTTTGTACGTTGTCTTGGAGATACAAGACAATATCCTGGAATAGTGATTACATTAAGTGATTGTAATTGATTTGAAAAGGTTTGCCAACCAACAAGAAATTGTTGAGGAATACTATCCTTCCAACCGAGTTGGCATTGCCACAACCTTTGCATTAGAATTTTTGCCTTAATCAAAATTGGACCAACCAGACCCAATGGATCATAAATCTGGGCAATGACCGAAAGAACTTGACGTTTTGTGTATTTTCCAGATCAATCCCAAGGTTTTTAGTTCTTTTTCGTGACTGTCACTGATAAATGATTTCGTAGAAAGAGCACTATCTAGGTCTTGTAAAATATTAACATCGTTTGATGACCATTTTCGAAGATGAAAATTGATGAAATCTCTTGTTTCACTTGAAATGCCTCCTCGATTGTTTTTGTCCCTGTTAAGAGATCATCTACA